TGCTGGAAGAGGCGGCTGGCACCGATAGAATGGAACTTAAGTTCAAGGTGGAGGCCGAGAGAAGCTCGCGCATAAAGCTGTTTGTTCAAGGGGGGAGGAAGATCATGCTCGACGCTCTCTCGCAGAAGCTGGATTCCACCGAGAGAATCTATTTCATCGATCCAAGGTCGCTGCTCTTGAGTGGAATCGTGTTGGGTGACGCGAATTCTCTCGTGCAAAAAGGAAACTGGCTGGGACAAGCAGTGGCAGTGAAGAAGTGTGGCGATGGTTTTCGCTACTGCAGAGAGGCCGGGGTCTTCCAGCACTTCCAGCCGTCCCACCCGAACGTGATACAAGTCTTGGGAGAGTCCGAGGTTCCGGAAACAAAGGAGAAACTCCTCGTCATGGAGGAGAAGAACAGCGATCTAAAGAGATACTTTCACTCTTCCGGCCCGATCACGCAACTTCAAGCGGTGGACTTTCTGATCCAGATCGCTGGTGCGATGGTTTACCTGCACGGCAAAGGCGTTTGCTACCGAGACCTCAAGCTCGAGAACATCATGATCGACGTCCAGTATCTGGAGCTCACTTTGGCGGACTTTGGCCACTCAAAGCCACGCTTTGATCCTCTGGGAGACAACACTTGTCCCGTTGGAACTGTCAGCTACATGGCCCCGGAAGTTCTCGCTGGGATAACCTCCGGACAGGATCCCGGCTATGGCTTCAGCGTGGACGTCTTCAGCTTTGGGATCGCTTGCTCCGAGATTGTGTCTGGACAGCCTCTGGAGCTGACGGTCCCTCTAACAAGGGAGGAACGAATCGAGCGATTGCGGCGCGGAGAGAGACCTTCGCTTCCAGAGTCTTGCCACCAGAAGCTCAAGAAGCTCATCACGCAGTGCTGGGATTTTTCGCCGAAGAACCGACCGACTTTCGAGGTGATCTACGAGAAACTCTGGGAGATCAAAGAAGAGCTCTTGGCTGGAAGCCCCGCTAGCACGGACCCGGGAGAAGCTGCGCCGGCCTCTGAGATCCAAGCCGCTGGGATCCAAAACCTGGCAATCACTGGAGCAAACACGGTGGGAAGCAAATCGACAGCAACTTGGCAGTACGTGAACGACACGAGCTTCTGCGTGGTTGGGTGGCAAAGATACAGAGATCTAGAGTCCGAGGAGCCCCAGCTATCCTGGAAAGTCTCGCTCACATCAGGGACTTCGAGCGATTACACCATCACTCCCGACGATCTCGACCGGCACGTTGGCGTGATTTGCTTGCCGCTGGCTCTGGTCGATGGGAAGATCGTGCCAAGGCAACAGGCTCGCTTCACTCACGGAGCTCTCGTCTCGCAAGATCCGGCGATGGCGAGGGAGATGGAGAGGCACTTGAGGAAGGAACACGTTGCTTTCGACATCACCGTCGACCGCCGGAAGATCAAGCTCAACCTCTGCCACACCGACTACCATCTCGTGTGGCATATGGGAAGCACCAAGAACTTCCGCGGCCAGTTTGTTCGTGGAGACGTGAGCGTCGAGGTGGTGGGCGATTGCTCCATGGTGATCTCCAAGGCCAGCCAGAGCCAGAGAAGCACGATCGACTTCAAGGATTCTTACAGGAGGAACTTAGCAGTGCTTCTGATTCGCCATTTTTTGGAATCCAGTCCTTCCCAAAATGGATTGGACCACATTCCAACCCGGAATACTTGGTAGGATAGAGACTATATCGATGTAAATGATCTTTATATTGGATGTAAAAATCAGGGAATGACAATGACAATAGAAAGAACAAAATGACAATAGAAAGATTTTGACCAAAGCTCAGAGGAAAAGAATGAGATTAATCGCCAGTGTTGGCTGCGTCCATCCTTGGCATCTCTTCAGCAACCTTGGCAACGAAAAAATTCGTTAGATAAGCGAGCAGGGATTAAAGCAACTCTTACCAGCTTCTGGAGGGTTTTGCGAGCGTCCATTCTAGCTTTGACCACCTCCGGATTCCAGGGGCAGTCAATCGCCAGCGAAAGAGTCGCGACCGCCCTGTCCATGAGGCAGCCGCTCCTATACCCGGTGGCTTTCATGGTCGCAAAGTTGACCATCCAATAGTCAGCGGCGACCCCCGTTGACGCGAGCGTCACCCTCGCCCTCTTTCGCCCCCGCGTCGCCGCCTGGAGTACCACCCGAGCATCTGGCTTGTCGAGCCGCGCCATCTCCATGCTGTTATCATTCGTGAAGAGCACCTTCACCTGGAAAAAAGAACCAAAATCAATGGCAACGCAAAATACAAGTCAACCACGTTGACCAGCAGGAGAAAAAGAGGACCTCGTCTTGCTGGATGGTGGTCTCCTCGCCCTCCTTGAGAACAATCTTGATCTCACGGCGATATCCAGTCATCAGGTTGACCTGCTCCATCCTCTCCAGGTCAATCTTGTATGGCACGCCGTTTGGATACTTGGCAGAGGTGAAGGCAGCCTCCAGCTGATCATCGGCCTCACCGCCTTGTTTCTTGCCACCAGCGCGCTTGCTACTCTCGAGCTTGGACTTTGCGAGCTTGATTCTGAGAGCAATGTCCGGTTCATACTGGACCCATTTCTTATGATTGTCGAGCCACCACACCCCCGGCTTGGTTGGATACGCGCGGCTCTTATTACTCTCTAGCACCTTCACCTGGGAAAAGAAACAAAAAACCAAAAACCAAAAAGTCAGCGGCACAGCAAAAAAAAGTCAACTCAAACGAGGACCTCGTCTGGCTTGATGGTGGTCTGCTCGCCTTCCTTGAGAACAATCTTGATCTCGCGGCGGTACCCAGACCTCACGTTGACCTGGTGCATTCTCTCGAGGTCGATCTTGTATGGCATGCCGTTCGGATACTTGGTGGAGTTGTGGAACCCGATCTCCACATCCTTGGCCTCGCCACCTTGTTTCTTACCATCGGCGGGATTGCTACTGCTACTATCGAGCTTGGACTTCGCGAGCTTGATGCTGAGAGCGATGTCCGGTGGATACTGGACCCATTGATCATCCTCCCGCCACCACACCCCCGGCTCCGTGGGATCGGCGCACTCCTTGGTGATACACATGTTGCCCTACACAAAGCTTCGCCAACTTTTTCTTTTAAACTTCTATGGCCCCCAAAAGCGGTCGATTCTTGCGGAGAAATCTTTAGCTCGCGCCATTAAAAGCATCAACGCCCACATTGGGTTTAAGATAAGCTTTTTATCCATGGCATTGCCGTGGCGAAGAAGTCGCGGAGTTTGTCCGGGGATGGCAGCGACGAGCGCACCAGCGGGTGCTCCCGGATCGCGTCGAGGAGGGCGAGGAATCGCGGGCAGGCGTCGCGCGATGGCAGCCTCAGGCCCCCGACCTCGACGAGCGATTTGGAGCAGAGCGCGGTGGAGACGAGGACAATGTCAACGAGCCCGAGCTTCGCGCCACCGAAATAGGGCGCGCGATTGCTCTTGCGCAGCTCCTCCTCGAGAATGCCGCAGCTGGCGAGGAAATCTTCCTGCCCGGTGGCCCGGAACACCACATTCGCCGATTCTGCAAAGATCTAGAGCAAACGAATTGCGAGAAGAGGGTAAAATCGATCAACCGTACCTTCCTCTCCACGAAATCTGCCCAGAATCGCTCCTGCGCTCGAGCGTATGGATCCCTGGGAAGAATCTCATCGCCGTGATCGCGCCACTGCTCGTCGATGTACTCTATTATGACGCTGGATTCCGCGATTGGCCTGCCGTTGTGGATCAGCACTGGGACTTTCTTGTGCACGGGATTGGATCGAAGCAGCAGCTCGCCCTTGCTCCTCACGTCCTGCTCGACGCGCTCGTAGGGGATCGACTTGAGTTCCAGCGCCAGCATCGCGCGCATGGAGTAGGGGCTGGACCACACACACAGCAGCTTCACGCTCTCATCCGCCATAGCCAGGAACTCAAAACCCTAGAAAAGAATTTTAAATTTTTAAAACGTTTGTGCGCGAAAGTCAAGCCTCGCAAGTCACGCCTGCGTTGTCACTAAGTGAAGATTGGATTGAGATTCCGAGACGTCCGCTGGAGGAGCGCTGGGTTCGTGCCCTCGAGAAGCTCTCCTGGTGGATTCACGGTTCTCCAAAATCAAAACCATGAAAAGCTCTCGCAGGGCGAGCAAAGTCGATAGAGCAAATGCAGCGAAGCTTACGAATCCAATCGCCACTCCAGCAGTCACGGTGGATCCGGTCGAGAGTTTCTCACCGAGAAGTGCATACACGACATCGTCAACCAGTTTGACACCCACGGTAGCAGCGGAAGAACTGGCTATCAGTAAATATGCTAGAATCTGTGAGAACGAGGCTCTTATCAATCGAAGCCTTATCTGGCAAATCAAAGCTCACACCTGATCAAGAGTGAAGATGATACTGGCAGTGACAACGCTGGGCTTCTTTCCTCTTGCCAAGATCAACCATACCAGGCTTCCAATTGCATACACACAAGCTACGACATTCATAGTCCCAGCAAACCTACAAAACAAATGGTGAGACTAAATTTGATCATGGTCTTATACCTGGTTCCTTCTCCAAGTGCAAGAGTGTCTTGTTCAGAGTAATATTTTAGCTTGTCACCAAATATGAGGCCGAAGGCAAGGGCCGTAACAATAACTTGGATTGATCTGAGAATAAAGGGACTCGCGCTTGAACAATCGAGAGGAGCATCTCCATTGCTTGACATCTCCTCGCAAGAAAACACGCAGGCCAGCCAGAGTTAAATACAAATCAGTCTCAATTATTAGATATACATTTAAGATACCAAGAATCTTTTACGGCAGCATTCCTTTTGGAGGATCCAACGAGAAAGGTTTCTTTTCAATGGCCTTTATAGGCATGTCCCACCCGATCGTTCAGTTGCAAACTAAATGTCTTAAGGAACATTAACTTTATACAGGAAGTTAAAAAGTATCATAATGAGTATGGATATAGTTTTGGAATCACAAACTAAGGTTTAGTCAAGGAAAGGTATTTTTAAATATCTCTATTTTGCAAGTTATGAGAAAACTAGCCTAAATTAAATATTTCTATATTTTAATGGTTTTATAGTTTTGTTTTGTAACATTTACAACAAAAACATACTTAGTATCTACAACAAGAAAAAAAAAGAGGCACAAGTATGTTATATTCAATTTAATTCTTAACTGTTTTTTTTAAAAAAAAATTTGTATCTATTTTTCAGTATTGACTTTTGGGTGGTTTAAGTTATCTTGGAAAAAAAATATAAAGGAATATTCTATTGGGACTGTAGTGCCTTTCTATCTAGAAGCATCGCCAAGAAGAGCATGCCATCAAGAAAACAAGGAGCGAGGACCAAGAGCCTTCTAAGTCCTATAATGGTGAGGATTAAGGTGGGCAGCTCTAGTGCTCGTCCAAGGAGATCAAAGCCCAATGTTGAATGGCTCACACTAGATGTTCATGCACTCGCTCATTTCGAGCTGCTTGGTCTTCTTTGGAGGTGGTCTTCTTTGTGGATTTTGGTGCCGCTCTGGATTGTTTTGTCCCGCTCATCTGGGATGCAGTAGAACGATGCTCGTCACTAAAGTCAAGGAACTGCGCCAGTCGTCTCAGTTTACTAGTGCCCAGATGGAATCCCTAGTTAACTCTTTGGATACTCTTAAATTACACTCACTCAAGTAATAATACATGTTTTTGGAGGGTCTCCCTAACACTCATGAATGAAGCTCTCAAATCCTTGGCAGGAGCTGCATGTGATGAAAGCAAGAATAAAAGAGGAAAATCTCTTGAATCTCAAGTAATTAGAACGAAGTATCTTGCTTGCTTTTGCAATACGTGTTTGTCCAACAAACAGCCTTCTCGAGAGCTTCGTGCTCTCGAGAAGCTGTGTGGTGGATTCACGGTTCTATCAAAACCATGAAGAGCTCTCGCAGGGCGAGCAAAGACGGCAGAACAAAAGCAGAGAAGCTTATTAATCCAATCTTGGTCGAGTCTCACCCAAGAATCCCAATGTCCAAATCTAGAGTATTCTTTCCTCTATTCCGCTGGAAGTGTACCAGTGATCATGTTTTGACCAAGGTTCCTGCAAGTCCATGCATGTAAGCAAGAACAGCGCTAGACTTATCTAATGGAACACTAATACCTATGAGGCTTATGTTAAGTCACAATAATATAAAATCTAGAAACTATTTAGGGCAGCATTTCTTTGGCGTAGAAAGCGAGAAGACAATGGCGACTGTGGAGCTGAGCAGCAGCTATGGATTTGTGGTGTTGATCGTTGTGGCAAAGTTTGTTCTCAACGTGTGGATGATGTTGCAGGTCGGCAAGGCACGGAAGCGGTGAGTAATTGAGTGGATTTGGGGCTCGCCCATGGTTTTCTACTTGTTTTGCTTGATTTCTCTTTGTTTCCAGCTACAAGGTGCCTTACCCAACTCTGTATGCTCTTGAGAGCGAGAACAAGGAGGCCAAGCTGTTCAATTGTGTCCAGGTTTTCCTCTGCTCTTCCTGGTGTAACATTTCTTCTTGATTGAATCGTTTTTTCTGCTTCATTTGCACAGAGGGGTCACCAAAACACTCTGGAACTCATGCCACTCTTTCTCACTCTGCTCCTCCTTGGAGGTCTTAAGGTAGTGATGGAACTTTGTAGGTCCAATCTAACATTTTGCTTTTCCATGGATGTAGTACCCGATTGTGGCAGCACTGTTTGGAGCTTTGTACATTGTGACTCGCTACTTTTATTTCACGGGCTACTCTACCGGCATTCCAGACAACAGGCTATCCATTGGGTATTCTTCCGATTTATCAATCTTGGACGATTTTTGGATGTTTGATTCGTGCAGGAAGTTTTCTTTCATTGGCCTGCTGGGACTTCTAGTGTGCACCTTTTTGTTTGGTATAGGATTACTCTTTTAGAAGTTTTTGCTCGCAAAATACATGGAGTGTTTTGATCGTTCTCAAATTATAAATGAAAATATAAAGGAAATATAACTACTAATGAGAGAGAGTGTGTGTTTCAAATAGGCTTGTTATTGCTAGTGTTATTGTTAATTATTACTGGTCAAGTGAGATCTGTTTCAGTAGTTGATTATGGCAATTCTCCATTGTGCTGAGGATAAGATACAAATAATTAAATTATTAAAGAACATTAATAACTAAACTTCCACTATCATTGATAACCATCCATTAATTGTTTTGAATAAAAATATACATTATATATATCTAATTAAAAGTTATTTCAATTTTTTGTTGTATCTCTTTTACCACTATAGTAATAATTCTTCATTTATAAAAACCACTATATTGACCATTTCTCCAGTTATTGCTTTTTGACAAGGTTTATTAAAAATAGAAGCTATAATTTATAGCAGCTAAAAATTTTAAAAATCTTATAAACCATACTAGATTGCTCAAGGGGTAAAATACCACAAAATTAAATTTACCTTAATATAAAAATATCAACATTAGTTGTATTCAATAATTTTACTCAAATAAGTAACTATTTAATTCACAAACTTCTATTAATTCCATTTATTGTTTGGAGTGTGGGTGGCGTTCAGCTCCGCCACACTAGTGTAAGAACTAGAGCAACTTAGGCACAAATACATGAGTTCAGTTTTTCTTTTTTGTTTTATCCCTCTGGTATTCACTTTAGCTTTGTGTTTAGTTTTGCTGTAAGCTGTGGCAACAAAGAGTGAGCTCACCCATGACAATCCAGCTGCTGCAATCTACTCTTCTCTCCAACCTGCCAATGAGTGCCCACTCTTCTATTGGTAGAGAGTGAACTATTAACAAAAAATTTCCCAAAGAGTTTTGTGGAAGTTCAACTGCCTTACCCAACTATACATCTTTCTAGATAGGCTTGCTAGCCATAACCCACAACACACCTGAAGGAGCAGCTGAATTGCACCGTGAGTGAGATCTTACTTGATTCTCTCTTAGGACATTTATAACACCACATGCCATGGTTTGAATTAAGATTTACCATGTACAATACTTTGCCACCTTGACAGCTGTTGAAAGTGCTATTATAACATTAGACACAGGGACAACATAAAGTTTGCTTATATAATGTCATTATGTGGTGGCAATTGGATAGCAACATTTAAAGAATAATTTAGAATAAAAATTGAGTTTTTGGTACTTTAGATTGCCATAGCACAATAGTCAAATTCTTAAACCCATAAATACTTATAATCCACTTTTCTCTCCAGCCCACTAATTGCCACCCATGCTTTAGCACACTTCCATTAGCAGAAAGTGAACATCAACAAGAAATTTCTAAACATTATGTCAACCGACCCTCCCTATTAGCAGCAGAGATAGATAGACTCACTAGTTTATTAGTCCTAAAGTTAAAGGTTTGATGCATAGAGAATATACTTAAAAATATAGACCGTTGATCTGCTTACGACCGTTTGATTGAAGCTCACTTTTTAGGGCTTTGGGAAACAGGAGCTCATGGATTCCGTCTGTGCGATGCAGGCGTCGGGCTTGGCGGGGCTGGGATCGAGCTCGCAGCCGCGCAGGGGGCGCAGGAATCATCAGCTAAGGCTGCTGGGATCGGCAAGAGGGAGGGTTTTGTGCAATGCGCAGGCAGTGCAGCAGCGGCAGCAGCAATCCGACGTCGCCAAGGCGAAGATTGCGGATCCCTATTCCAGTCTCGGCCAGGTCTGCGCGGTCCTTGGTACCCAGTGGGGCGACGAAGGCAAGGGCAAGCTCGTTGATATCCTGGCCAGGCACTACGACATTGTTGCGAGATGTCAGGTAAAAATGTATAGAGGAAAGCCAAGGTTCTTCTCCTAGATTTCTTGTGGGTTTTCTTTGCTCGTGCGAATCTTCGCTCGTGTGAATCTCTTAGATTTTTCTTTGCTTGTGCCTTCGTTCTTGTTTCCTTTTGGCTGGATGAGCTGTGTTTCCTGACGATCCTTCTTCGTTCCAGGGCGGCGACAATGCTGGTCATACCATCTACGATGACAAGGGCGATAAGTTTGCTCTCCACCTCGTACCCTCTGGAATCCTTCAGCGCGACACAGTATGTATGGTAGGCAACGGTGTTGTCGTCCATCTCCCCAAGCTCTTCGAGGAGATCAAGCAGCTGGAAGCCAAGGGAATCTCCTGCGAGGGGAGGATCCGCGTCTCCGACCGTGCTCATCTCCTCTTCGACTTCCACCGGACCGTCGACGCGCTTAGAGAAGCCGAGCTCGCCGGGTCCATGATTGGGACGACTAAACGCGGCGTCGGCCCCTGCTACGCCAGCAAAGCCACCCGGAATGGAATCCGAGTGGGAGACTTGCTCGACATGAGTACGTTCCGAGATAAGCTAGAAATCTTGCTCGAGGATGCCGCTGCCAGGTTTGATAAGTTCACGTATGATAAGTCCATGTTAGAGGAGGAGGTGGTAAGGTACAGGGACTTCGCTGAGAAGCTTGGGCCTTACATTGCTGATACGGTTTACTTGATCAATCAGGCTTACCATGATAAGAAGAAGATACTGGTTGAGGGAGGCCAGGCAACAATGCTGGATGTCGACTTTGGGACTTACCCGTTTGTGACGTCCTCGAATCCTTCTGTCGGTGGAGTGTGTACAGGGCTTGGAATCGCACCAAAGAGACTCGGTGACATCATTGGAGTGGTAAGCTCTCCGCTTCTCCGTTACTCGTCTTCAGTGCTTTGTTAACTCGTTTTGTGATTTCGCAGGCGAAGGCTTATACAACTAGAGTTGGAGCTGGGCCATATCCAACCGAGGCATTCGGTGAGCTTGGGCAGAGCTTGCGAGAGACGGGAAATGAGTTTGGCACGACGACGAAGAGACCGCGTCGCTGTGGATGGCTGGACGTTGTTGCCCTCAACTATTCATGCGAGATCAATGGATTCACGTCGCTGAATCTCACCAAGCTGGACGTGCTGTCGAATCTCCCGGAGATCAAGCTCGGCATCGCGTACAAGGGACCGAAAGACGAGAGCGTCCCATCCTTTCCCGCGGATCTCAGCTTCTTGGAGAAAGTCAAGGTAAATTTCTTCGTGTTTCAATCTAGATAGCTGACAAGCGATTGTTTTTTTCCAGGTTGTGTATGAGACGGTCCCTGGATGGCAGACGGACATAAGCTCCGTGCGAAAGTTCAAGGATCTGCCAGGAGCCGCTAAAGCTTACGTTCAAAGGATAGAGGAACTGGTTGGCATCAAAGTCCAGTTTATCGGAGTTGGGCCTGGCCGAGACGCACTGATCGTGCGCGATTGAAGTCGCGACCAAGAATTTTGTATGCTAAGAAACCAAAGTTTTAATAAACTTTCTCTTCATTTCCGAAGAAAGTTTGTGTAGTATCAATGGTGGGTTAGAAAGAATGTATGGCAAATAAATCAGTGTGTGTTAGTCCCACATGAGCTGCTGCTGCTGCTGCTGGTAGAGATCCGGGAGCTCGTCTCGGTTGTAGAGGCACGGGTAGCAATTGAGCTGCGTGGTGGACGGCGAGTTTAGAGCCGGGATCATCTCACCTTGAAACATGAGAGCCAAGTTAGCCGGGTGATTCAAGCCGCTGCTGTAACTTAAAAGGTTTACAGGCACGGGGATGAGCTCCGGCGGTGGCCCCGGCATCTGCGACTCGAGCTCCAGCAGCGCGTAGAAATCCTCGTCCGGGTACACCAATCCACCCCCTGGAAGTTCACCAAAGTGAGAGCTTTATCACAGCGATCGATCAGATAAAACTAGCAACCAGAGAGCAAGAGAACTGTGAATCAATCGAAGCAAACTAGAACGAGTGGCCGGAGGATGAAAGAATCAAGAAAACTAGGGAATCAATCACTCGAGAAACTCACGAACTTACGGAAGGTGGTGGCGGTGGTGGTTTGCTCCACCTGGTCCTCGTCCCACACCTCGAAGAGCCTCAGCTGATAGATTCCTTCCTCGTTGGCGGCGCTGGATTTGCCGTAGACCAGCGGCTGCTCGTCCGGGGAGTGGTGATCGTGATCGCGCTGGGCTTGATGGTCTTGGTGGAACAAGACATCACGCAAGAAGTTGCCGCCGCCGCCGCTCCCACCGCTGTTGGATCCATAGCTCTCGCTCGTGGATTCCGGCTGGCTTTGCTGCTGGTGCTGCTGGTTGATCTGCTCGAGAAGACGGTGGTGGTGATAAGCAGCGGCAAAGTCGTCGTGATGGTCATCGCCTCGAGCTCCATCGTCGTTGTAGTAGGACGAGGTGGCGATCGAGGAAGAATGGTCGTGGCTGTTCTTGGCGGCGGCGATCAAGATGCCGCCGCTCTTCCTGCTGCTGTTGTTGCTATTGCTGCTCTTGCTGCTGGTGCTACTGCTCACCACCACCTGGTTGTGGTGATGACCAAGATAATGATCTTCTTGCGCTTCTTTCCGGTGATGGCCGCCGCGAGCAAGATTGGAGCACAAGTCTTGGAGGTCCGGGGGATAGACCGGCAGCCCCGCTCGCATCCTCCGCTTGATCCTCGTGTTCCAGTAGTTCTTGATCTCGTTGTCAGTCCTTCCGGGCAACTAGACAACAAAAGAGCCAAGAAAGAAAGAGAGATGAGATGAGATATCATTCATCACAGCATAGAGACAAGGAAAGAAGCAAAGAATGCAAGAAGAGAGAGCGAGAGGGAGAGGGAGAGAAAGATCGCAGAGAAGAGGAGAGAGCTCGAGAGCTCGAGAGAGATGGAAAAAGAGCTTGCCTGTGACGCCATTCTCGCCCACTTGTTGCCGAGCTTGGCATGGAGCTCGATGATGGTTCTTTCCTCCTCGGGGGTGAAGGCGCCCTTCTTGAGGTTGGGGCGGAGGTGATTCGCCCACCGCAGCCGGCAGCTCTTGCCGCAGCGCGAGAGGCCGCAGTTCTTCTGGACATTGTTCCAGTTGCCCTCGCCGTGCTTGTGGACATAGGCCACAAGAACCGCGTCCTCGCTCGGCGTCCACGGCCCCTTCTTCAATCCCTTCACCGCGCCGCCGCCTCCTCCCCTTCCTCTTCCCTCCTCGCAGAGCTCCAATGCCGCCGCC